TTTCCTTCATGTTTCGATTCGCAATGAGCTCTACGAAGAACGGCTCGAGCTTTTCCGACCTGCACGATCAGTGTCGAGTATTAATCACATTGCGATGGATTAGAAAACGTAATTATCTCGCCACGGTTTTGCGCGTGTCCTACATACTCTTCGAGCCTAGCACATTCCAGGCAAACTATGAATCGAGACTTTGAAGGAGCCTCTTTAAGAGCTCGAGCAAACAAGACTACCTATGACCTTTTTGTCACGACCACGTAACCATAAGCACCCAGCGCTGACCGAGCACAGCATAGTCAAGGTGGTTGGCACTAAGTTCCATGAGACCACCAGCGAGCCAGACTTTCCAGCGGAGATTCATTGGACATGCGGCAACTGACTGAACATATCGCCTCCGTGCCCTTCTGAGATCAGGCTCATTCCTTGTTTGTACGACTAATCGAGCTGCAGCTCGTTCCTCCATCTGTGCTGCTTCAAAATGTACCTTCCAAACAAGCTCCTTACTGATAAAGTGAAGGGCTCGATCCAGCATCAGACGCGTCCTAACCGGACCACCCGCAACAGCAACATCTGCATCAGTAGCAGCATCAAGGCGCTCGCAAACGCGAAACGCCCCAAACCAAATCGGACCATAGCGAGGAATTTGAAGCAGCCCCCTGTCAATAATATCCAGCGCCGCCGAGTCCTCGCCTGATCTCTCCTCTAGACGGTATGCTTCAAAGAAAATCGGTCCATACCACGACACACGTTCCATCAAGAATTTAAACACCTTTCGAGACACGCCGGTATTTCCACACCTTGCCTCAAGAAGTGCACCTTCCAGAACTGCGCGCCAAACCTTCTCGATTGGGACATGTTTCAGAGGTGCCAATAATGCACGCGCTGCATCTACCTACAGGTTCTTTGTCGGCCTGGGCGACAAGTACGAGGCACATTAAGATACAGTATCGAGCTTCTCGGCATGCTTGATGGCTCGCATGAGCAACGTGTCGGATAGCGAGCAAAACTCTAGCCCCCGTCGAACAACAAGGGCAGCTTTTGTCTGATGCCCGCGTTCTTCCTCCATCCTCGACAGCTCGAGCCAGCCCTGGGAAGCATACGGTTGTGTGTCGCAAGCTGCACGATAGAGCCTAAAGTTGATATTAGTCATACAAGATGTGCCCGTATGTCTCAGGGTCACACTGTCGCGCATGTTTCCAGTCAAATCCATGTTTTGCAACCTCAGCCAGACCCAAAAGGCGACGTATGTAATATTTCTGGCCAGTGCATTGCGTGGTTGATGAGTTTGATGCATGCTGCATTGGTGGACTACTACGCTCGACTCTGCGCGATGGTGATGTCTCGTATGAAGTTTCCGCAGATAGGCCTACAGGCTCTAAGGCCCTCGAGGCTAGAGGTCGCTGCTTACGTCTCGTTTGTGGCAGTGAGTTGATCCAAGGTTTATACGCAGGGTGTGTGGCCACCACAACATCACACACGGGTGTGGGAACATACCTGAAAACCACCACAGTTGATCAAGAGGGATTGTTTCTTGGAATACAGTTTATCTAAGAAAGCGGCAGTGCACGGTGAGGTCTCATTCATAGATTTACCAGTGGCAAATGCACGCAGAGAAGGGGTGGATATTGTGGACCTAAAATCACTCCGATGCCAGCTATAGATTACTTGATCACTCCCAGACTTGCGAGGCACTCCAGGGCCAGGCCAACCCATAGTCAGACCTTGAGAGAGAAAAATAGTCAATATGTCTGGCTGCTCCTTCTCGACGCTGCTTGCTGAATACGTGGTCCGTGACTGAGACTTTTCCAAGTGCCAAGGCGTGCTTTTGGTGGACGTCCACGTGGACCTATGTCGATCATGCAGTCGTACTACTGCACGTGTTCGTGCACAAGCCAGGACTTCATGCTGTCGGAGTGCGGTCTTGGTGAGATGCCACCTGGCGCCCAGAAGCGCGGTTCAGTACTAGTAAGATGAGGTTCGCAATCACACAAAGTCAGCCCATAACGCATGAACCTAAAATTCTCATATCCTACAGTGCTCATATCCTAGAATTCTGGAGCTCAGGCAGTGCTGACGGAAAGTTTGATGGCGAGTCAATGGGTCTAGCATCTGTAAATGAATGTGGCCTGGAGGCAACATGGAGGTTACTCCAAGGTCAGACTTCGGTAGCTACCTAGGGGTGTGACGTCTGCACCTGTTCTCCGTGTGGCCCTGCATCTTGACAGAGGGGCTATCTAACAGCAGGTAGTGTTGGAATTCGGGCAATTCTCGCTCCCACTTTGCTAGCTCGTGTTCTGCCACAGGAAGTTCAGGGCCGGGTGTCAGCTTTGAATTGTCGCTGACTGACATCTCCGAATGGAGCGCACCGCATTTCAATTGAGACACCGAAGATGCTGATGCTAAAATGAAAATTACCTCGTCATCTGACTCGTCAGCCATGCTTTCGATCGAAATCCCGAGTCGGCCTTCCGAACTAGTCCTCGCTAAACTAAATTGTGTTGGGCTTGCTTGCTCCGTGCTTTTGACCAAGAAGACGTCGTGGCTCAGGATAATGCCGAGCACCATGCGTCGGGGAACATTTGATGCATGGCTTGTGATATTGTAGCAAGCCACATGTAGTACAGTAATTTTCGATTAAGGATTATAACCCCTCAACTATGGAATTGGATCAGTCATACTTCGGTTTGTTAGCGGTAGAAATACGTAGTGTTTTTCTCTTGCCTGAGGGGTCTGCCTATCAAGTGAAATGTCAATCCTGCTCGACTTGTTGTTCTTCTACCATAATCGGCGGAAAGGACACTCAACCACACTCGAGGTTTACTCGAGGGACTCAGCTGCTGTCCGGCGACTGCCACCGTGCTACCTCGCTGAGCCTGGTGCTCTCTGGCACGTCGCTGTGACGCTGCACAGGAAACAGCAAGGTCTGCCGGATTATACTTTATCGGAGCGGTATGCAGCAGCCAGAGCCACGGAGAACCATCTCCACTGCCAGTGGCAATACGAACCTAGGTATCCTCTTCTTTCTTTCTCTTGCACACTTTTTAGTGACCGAGGAATCTGGGGGTTGCATAGGCAGCTCACCGCTTAGTGTTGCTAGATCCCGGCCGGTTGGCAGGGCAGTGTAAATATCTACTTTTCTAGTCTACAGTGAAGGCGCTTACATTCCTTTACACTCCCCCCGTGTTCTGAATCTTGGCTGATATATCCTGGCGGCTCTATATCACCTGAACATATACTCCGCCCCAACGGAATGTGCCAATGGATGATCGCGAGCACCTGATTGCTCTTCTCAATTCCCGATCGGCATCTCTGGCGTTCAGACTAAATTTGCTAAGAAATTGTGTGCGGGAGGGCGTTGAAACTTGCAGTTATGACAATGGTACACCTCGCCGGGGTTATAATCCTGGGTACTCCAGCTCATTGACGAATTCCAGTATCGCAGGCTCGCACATTCTCTCGTACCGATTTCCACACCGAGAAGCGCGATGTACTATCAAATCTATGAGACTCGCAAGGCCCTGTGCCAAGTCTCCAACCTGCTCAAGCCAACCGGCGACTCCCCCAACGCCTGGGCCGGCGTCCTTCGCAAACGAGCGGCAAAGACCACTCAACACAAGCGTAGAGCATATTCGACTTGCTCATCTAGAGATCGTACTCGATGAGATACATGACGTATATCATATCGATTCATGTGAACTTGAAAAACGCACTGACTCTGCGATTACACTAGAAAGAATTATTAGAGGATTTCTCATCAGGGTGCGTAGAACTAGATATTTCATGGCTTTGCGAAAAGTTAAGAGACGTGGAGCTAAGCGAATGATTGTCGTGGTAATGAAAGGCCAAGTCCGCTGCCGTGAGGTAGAATTGGGCATATCGCGAATGCTGCGTAGACGCCGACGGAAGATACTGTACAAGCACTGGCAAGCGATCACTACTACGTGGACTAGACCACAGGTTTCATACGTCCAGAGGGAAACATCAGGAGCAAACGAACAAGCAAAAGTCAAACAAGCAGAGAGTTGTTCACCACCAGTGAATAGTCAGGGGATTCCAGCTGAGAGCTGTGGGCGCAGGAGGACGATGCGCGATGCGATTGGACTGGACTTCAGCTTAATTGTAAGCAGGGCGCTTTTCGCAGCACAAGCTGCGTCGTGCTCCACTGAGAGAATAATCTCTCGATGCACTCGCCAGGTGGTTCGCATGCGTGCTATTGTCGCGCGCTCTCGAGCTATTGAAGATGTGCTGCTGCTTACCATCATGAGGACATGGCAACGTTGGGCACACATACGGGTAGAAGGACGGGTCGCCCTCGTTGTTGCGGAACCTATGGACCCCTCAAGCTCCCATGCCCAAGATGGATCTACATTTCAGGCTCGCTTTTTGCTACAGAATAGTGCGTGCCCTGGCTTGAAGGATCGTTTCAATGCGCCACATGATATCCAAGCCGCAGCGAGGATTGCTCATTGCTCGAAATTGCGTCGATACTGTGGTGCGTGGCGTTCGCGGTCATCTTTGCTCAAAGAAGTTCATCTAAGGCGAAGACGCAAACTCACCCAATTTGCCCGTACACAACTCAAAGCCTGGCACTCTTACGCGATCAAATTGCAAGCAGCTCGCTGCATGGCTCTGGATAGATGGCGTTTGCATCTCCTGGTTCGGCTGTCTAGGCCGCTATGTGCATGGTACTTGTGGGCGCATGCTCGCATAGTTCAGCGCAAAGACACTGAGCGTGTTGTTTCCGCGTTTACTCGACTTAAAAAGCGGCACGTAGCCGCTGTAACATTACGGGCGTGGAGGCACGCTGCAGAATTGAATCGCTTGGAGGCGCGATATACGCGCCGCCAGCTTATGGGTGCACTTGCTGAACAAAAAGGACATGTCCGACGGCTCGAGAGACTGGCAGAAGACCATGATATGACTCGTGCCGAGCTCGACAACGCAGCCGATCTTGCACACGAGCGAGCGGCCAAGCTTGCCCGCAATGCATTAGTCCGTGATGATGATTGCAGATACCTTGAGTCCCGCTTGGAATCTGCAGAAAACGATGTCGCCTTAGCACAGCGCGTGCTTTCCTCAATTGAGACGGACCGTTCTGCACTAACTCAGCATATTCTGCGAATGCAACCAGTTGTTGGTTTTGCCAATCAAGGGCTATCCAATCTAGCACACGATAGAGACGCGCGTCTTGGCGCTGGTGTCTCAAGTACGCTGGGAAATGCAGCAGGCGGGGACTTTATGTCATCCAGGACGTCAACGGACATGGAAGGCATGCAAGATCCTCGCGGCGATGAATCCTTGTCGCAAAATGCCGGTTTTATGCTAGCTAACACGATAGCAGGGTCCAATGCATACGAAGACGTTAGCGCCTCTCATACCAGTGGTGCACACATCCACTTGGTCGGGGAAGCAGATATACACGACGACGTCATTGAGCTACCGCCGGGAATGGCATTGATACGCCATCCAAACGAGACAGGTGGGCTCATGCTGTGCCGCAAAAATGCAAACTTTCATCAAGCTCACCAAGATGGAATCGTTGATGGTGGCCCTGACGTAACCAAACGAGCGTTTGCGGTCCGGCTTGATTGGCTCTTAGCAGCAGTGCACTCCATGCCGCCGCTGGTAGATTTCTCTCCCTTGACGCAAGTTGCGGGTGCCCCGCTCTTTAAGGATGCTTCTACAACTAGGAGCAAAGAGAGTGACAGAAAAAAAACAGAAAGCCGTAGCGGTGGTGGTGATAGTGAGGGCAAATTGGATCTCCCAGAAGGCCATTCTAGCTTTGTACCAATGCACGATGTATCACTAGCAAAAGTAGAGAGCGCTGCCATTGAGCTTTTGAAAAGTGTCAAAGACATGTACGGGATTTTTGAGTTTTTGCGTGACGGCAACTTAGCTGCGCTTCCTGAGAGACTAATCCCATCATGGAATGCAAGTACCACTGAATGTACATGTACAGCTTCTTCTTCTACTTCCGCAATTGAAACTAGGTCTGTACAGGGCGCAGATGTTTGGAAAGAGAGACCAATGCGTCCTTGGAAAAACTTGACTTTGAAAGCACGTCTGTCGGGAATGAGTTTCAAGTGGCGAGACGTCCATCAGCATATCGGTGCTCGGCTGCTGCGTGGGCGACCATATGAAACAAAATCGGACAGAATGGTGAAGCACATAGTGGAGTCAATAGATCGGGTCGATTTTACCTGTATTGCATTGTACAGTGGGGCTACGCGACATTTACGTCCTAACATCTACGGTTTCCAAGCCCTTGTCGGCGATTCACTGTCAGAAAGAGACAGACTATGGGATTCAGTCGGGTAGGGTGTGATTTCTTGATGCAGACTTAAGGTGCAGGCCTGATGCACGCTCAGGGCCAAGCCTATGGCCAGTGCATGCCGGCGAGCCCAAGAACATGCCGCTGCAACGCCAGATATTTTGCGCCTCCTAGAGAGGGAGGGAAGGTGCTAGCCAACTACAGCCCTGGGGGAGACTCTCGGAGTCTTCCTAGACCTAGGGCCGCTCCGTTAGTTCACCCTCAGACTCTGTCGGACGGCAGGGCAGCCCTGTCTCGGAGTTTACTATCTCGCTAAGGACTTGCAGACTCCGCTAGCTCAGAGCAGCGCAGTCTCACCCCAATTCAAAGCAGCATTCTTTAACTAGGAAGTTAGGATAGTTTATTATTAGCCCAGCATGTCCCTAACAAGCACTACTAGTAGCGACCTTCGGCGGGTGGCGCCGATCGGGCGCGCAGCTGCGCCATGTCACTCTCCTGCGACAGGTAAGCATCGAGGGGTCGGGTATGGTACCACCACGTCCGCGCGGACCGCTGGTCGTCGTCCGCGCGCCCCCGTTCTCGCGCGTCGGCGCGTCCGCGCCGATGCGCGTAATCGAGCCGAGCGGGTCCGATTCGGAGTCGACACGGGCGTGCCCGTGTGCTCCGAGTGCGTGTTCTCCGTGCCGCCCACCCGCATCGGTCGATCCAAGCGCTCGGAGTGCGTGACGCGCGCCATCCACATGTAGAACCACATGCTCGACGTGTTCGGCCGCGTTCGGCCGAGGGCTTCGAGGGCCTGCGCAGCTCCGCGATCTCGCTCTCCGGGTACAGCTAAGCATCGAGAAGGTCCATCACTGAGTCTAGTCGATGTCCCCGGAAGAGATCTCGCCAACTCGTCGACCTCCTTCGGCATGGGTACGACGAACCGCCACGTGCACTACGAGCGGGTGGTCGCCCGCTGTGGTCGCCGGGGTCCTTTGGCAGGGCTTTGCGGCCGCGCCTCGACCTTTTTCGAGGCTCCTGCGCCCGCCCTGTCCGCCGACGGTCCCGACCCGCGCCGTGGGGTGCGGGATCGCTGCAGAGAGCGAGTTTGTGGGGCGTGAAGGAGTAAATTTAGGCCTAAATGAGCATGTTTGAGCCCCTGGAGGCGCTCTAGGGCGCTCTCTGCAGCGACCCAGCCGCTCGCGGCTGCGATCGGGACCGTAGATGGACGAAAAGGTCGCACAATCCTTGGCCGAGGCCCGGACGCGGCCGTAAAGGGCCGCGGAGACCATTCGCCTCTTCT